AGAGGAATTAGAACTGATATGCGTCTTCTTGGGTTGGATGAGAGTGTTAAATCCCACACCGGAAATGTTTAAGTCAAAAAAGTGCTATATTAAGACATGAGCTACTCCTCCTATCAGGTTGACCTTTTAGGATGGAACCCCAGGTCTTAACATGGTATCAAAGCCAAATTGATCCATGGTGTGGGTCCTCTTATGAAAAATGATTGTCACGATTATAAAAAATGACAATGACGAATTGACGAAAAAAAATGAATGACGGCACGATCCAAACAAAGACACTGGTCGTGAGAAGGGGTGTTAAATCCCACACCGGAAATGTTTGAGTCAACGAAGTGCTATATTAAGACATGAGATACTCCTCCTATCAGGTTGACCTTTTAGGATGGAACCCCGGGTCTTAACAAAAAGTATGGTTTTAGAGAGAGCAAAGTGGAGGGTGCACATCTGTGTGGATGATTGATGTCTTTTCTACCTTTCATCTCTTTTTTTATCGCTTATCTTCCTTATCTTTTTATTTTTTTATGTTATTTTTATCTTCTAGCTTTTTTATGCTCTTTTATTTTTTATCTTTATCTTTTTTATATTCTTGTGTTATTTTTATCTTATATTTATTTATTTTTATTTTATTCATTTTATCTTACTTTTTGTTCTTCCCTTTCTTGTCCATCTTCTCTTTTTGGCATTTTTGATATCATAGATCGATTCATTTTAGCCGACCCCAAATTCTTTTGGGATTAAGGCTTGGATGTTGTTGTTGTTATTTCTCTAAATTTTGTATTCTTTTGTTTATGTTTTCTTTAAATTTTCAAAACCTTCATTTCAATAATTAAACATAGAGGTATCATTGTGGTTGAAGAAATGTTTCCTGCGTGGGTATGGAAATGATATTAACTATCCTGCAATCTTCTTTTTTGCATTATACCCTTTATTTATACCTTGTGTTTTTCATTAGTTTTTCTAAAGTTTTAGGGGTTTTCATTTTACAAGGTTCACACTTACATGAGTTACGTCAATTTTCTTGTTATTTGTATGATTTTGATTTGAGCATTTGTGTATTCAAAGCAGTGAATAGAATTTTTAGTGTTGTATTTATTTAGAATCCCCACTAATTTTGCTTTTGGTTAAATCATTTTTTTGGTGCATTTGTTGTTATAACTAAACATTCCCTTGCTACATTTTCATTATATTGCACACATTATACTTTGCAAGATTGCAACCTTATTTGCATTCATTTTTATTATTGTTGTCTTATTTTCAGTGTAGAGAGTCTCTTTTTGGTCAGAGATTCATGTGTGCATTGCTATGGTAGAAAACCACTCATTTCGTCTTAAACAAATTTCACAATTTGTGAAGTAGCACAAAGAGCTTCTCATGTCTTCTGTTGATTCCCATGGCATTTCATCATCAAATGATGATTCCATTCAAATATCCAGGAATAAGAGTGTTGGTTACCGAATTAAAGATGCAAAAGAGGTTGTTATTGATGAAAACAAATGAGCACAAAGATGATGTAAGATGCAATCAAATGAGTCATCACAAGAGTAGAAATTGTCCAAACATTAAAGGATTTAATTAGTCTATTGTATTATTTGTAATTTCTACCTTTTCGACGTACCTATTGTAACTTTATTCAACTTGCATTTCTATATTAATAGCACTTATCTTATAGGACTTGTTCCTCTTATTAAAACTCCTACCTGTTTTATGCAAATGTTATGCTTTTATTGTTCCATCTATTGCTACTTATTGTAATACAGCTGCAAACTTACATTCTAGTCAATGACATTCAAAATTTTGTTTATCCAATATTTCACTCACAGTTTTACTTTGCCTACAATACAATAAATCATTCACTTATCTCATTTACATGTATATAAATATATTGTTTCTTTTTAGCCACCTCAGTGTCATTTGGTTTTCATTGACCATCATCATGTATTTTACAAGTGCATATGATTTCAAATTTAAAACATAAACCTATATCATCATGTGATATCTGTATATATAAATATAATTGACCACCATCATGTATTGACCACCATATAATATATATATATATATATATATATATATATATATATATATATATATATATATATATATATATATATATATATATATATATACACACACACACACACACACACAGGGATGACTTCCAATACAAAAAGGCTCTCAGGTGCAAATACTGAAAATAAGACACTAAAAATTCTATTCACTTCTTTGAATACACAAATGCTCAAATCACAACCATACAAATAGCAAGAAAATTGATGTAACTCATGTAAGTGTGAACTTGTAAATATGAAAACTCCTAAAACTTTAGAAAAACTAATGAAAAATGGAAGGTATAAAGAAAGGGTATAATGCAAAAAAAGAAGATTCCAGGATAGTTGATATCATTTCCATACGCACACAGGAAACATTTCTTCAACCACAATAATACCTTTATGTTTAATTATTGAAATGAAGGTTTTGAAAATTAAAAGAAAACATAAACAAAACGGAACTTCTAAACTTCTAAATCAGAAAGAATACAAAATTTAGAGAAATAAACACAAAAAATTGAATGTAGCGGTTACTATGTTTGGGGTTGAGACTCTAGATGATGAATTGGGCAGAGACGGTGCCTGATGAGCGAAAGAGAAGGCATGATCGTGAATATCAAAATAACAGGTATGGTATGATGACTAAAAAGCCCCTTTTATTTAATTAATTACTCCTTCTGTCCCGCTAAGATTGTCTCATTTTACCTTTTTGGGAAGTTCCACTAAGATTGTCTCATACCAAATTTGGTAAAGATTGTGTGGCTCTAAATCTTTCTTAATTTATTCTTACTTTATCAATTTAATATCAACCACACAAACCCACTTTTCTTAATAATCGTGGCACCTTCTCTTGTCTCAATCTTAGTGGGACGGAGGTAGTATAAGAGATTCGAATGGTAAGATGAATGGTATAGATAATTTCTCACTTTTTATAAAAAGGGGTCTTTTTATTTGAACTCCGCCTTTTTTTTACTCCAGGGGGCGTCTGGGGGAGGGAGGGTGGGGGGAGCCTAGAGTAATCTAGGCTGAAACTCACTACATTGAGTTTCGAACCCGAGACCTCCCGTAAGGGAGAGTCAGTCGGCGACCAGCTGGGCTAGACCTCTTCCTCTCTTTTTTTTTACTCCAGGGAGGTCTGGGGGAGGGGGACCTGGAGTAATCACGGTTGAAACTCACTCCGTTGAATTTCAAACCCTTATGTGCCTAGCGGGTTTCGAACTCGAGACCTCCCACTAGGGGTAACCTCACAACTAGCTGGGCTCGAATGCTTGGTTTTTTTTACTCCAGGAGGATCTGGGGGAGGGGGGCTAGGGGGCTTGGAGTAATCGGGGCTAAAACTCACTCCATTGAGTTTCAAACCCTTATGTGTCTAGCGGGTTTCGAACTCGAGACCTCCCTTTAGGCACGGTAGCCTCACAACCAACTGGGCTGGAATATATAGAGTACTACTCCCTTCGTCCCGCTAACAATGGGACAAGAGGGAGTGACACGCCAATTAATAAAAAGTGGTTTATGTGGTTGCTATTGAATTGATAAAGTAAGAATAAAGTAAGAATGATTTAGAGTCACACAAACTTTACCAAATATGGTATGGGACAATCTTAGTGGGACGGACCGATAATGTAAAATGAGACAATCATATGGGATGGAGGTAGTACATTATATTCAAAGGTGACTAATCCGGCAACAAAAGTTGTACAAAAATATAACAGTAATGATAAGTATTAATTATTAATTAGGTGTCATTACAAAATAATATAGAAGTGATGGAATTTGTGTTGATCATAGAAGAGAAATATAACTTTAACCATAAACAGAGTATTTATTACTTTAAATAGAAATGGAGCCAAAGGCTCAATATTTGCAATAAAATCAAAGATCCACTATTTTTTGGCAGGGGAATATGATGGAATAAAGCAATATGGTTCACTGTTTTATTTAGGGGTGAACCCGGGCCAGGCTGATTCCGGGCCGTGCCTGAGCCCGGGCGGGCTTTTTTTTGGGAAAGGGTGATCCGGAACCGGCCCGAGTATAAACCGGGTCCGGGTCAGGCCCGATTCTATGTTTTTTTTTTTTGCTTTATAATTAACCCTTGACCCCCCCCCCCCCCCCCTTCACCCCCCACTCCCCAAAACACCCAGTCCTAACCAAGAAAAGCAAAAAAGAAGAAGAAAAAAGCCCGGGCCGATTCAAGAAAAACGTGGCCCGAGCCGGACCCGCCCAACCCACCCCAACCAGGTAAAAGCCCGGGCCCAGTTAGCACCAATCGGGCCAGTCTGTGCCCGCACAATAGCAGGCCAGGCCGGTTCGAGCCAGGCCGAACCGGTTGAGTCCATCCCTAGTTTTATTTCCTAAATATAAATAATTTATGTCATGTTTGGAAAAACTTTCATGCTCAAACCTGGTAATATCAAACTTGACAAAAATTACTCCTATTTAGGGAATAATAACATGATAGTCATATTTGAATTTCAAAACTTTTTTACTCCTATTTAAGGAACTTTCATCAAATGTATGTAGGTCTTTTTGACTTTTTCAAATACAAGAACAAGTCTGATTACTGACCAGATCTTTAATTTGAAATGTTATGTATGCAGTATGCCTTCGGTGCTTATTAATTGTTAACATTTTTGCCGTTCAAAAAAAAATTGTCAACATTTTTGTCTGGGTATGAAAAATTGTTATTTTTTATTTTAATTTTTGATATGGCTATAGCTAAACGTACACCGCTGACCTGCTACTGTAATCATATTGTATAGCCCACTCCTATTTACTTTCTCAGCAGTTAGCCCATGTGTCCTTGTTTTAGTTCTCTTTAGGTCTGATTATTGACCACAACTATAATTTGAAATGTTGCGAGTTCGATGATTATTACTCGTCAACATTTTTTGTCTTGTTATGAAACATTGTTACTCCGTATTTTTTGTTTTAATTTTTGATATGGCTATAGCTACACATACACGGTACACTGCTGACCTGCTGCTGTATCAAGAATGACGTGTAATTAGATTACTGGACCAAGTTAATTTCATGTCCAGTTTTTTAAAGAGAGATATATAGAAAAAGACTACATACATGATACATATAAACACATTTCCTTGCAGGACATACAACTATACAAGGGATTCCCATAAGGCAGGCTACATTGGAATCTTGTACACATTCACAAGAGAGTGGTGCTAGTAGGGTTAGCAAAGAAATGGTCACGCAAAATTAGCTTCGACTTCTCGAAATAGCTGCCGAGGAGGCCCTGAAGAATGGCTGGGGGTGCTGATGTTTTCTGATGCATCTTGCGCACCTTGATGTGGTTGTCAAGAATCATCATCTTCAGCAGACTTCTGCAGCTCTATACCCACAATACAATGCAGTTGGTACATGGGTCAGAAGTAGATATGAAAATCTCAAACATGACAGACGTACACGTGAGCCACATAGAGAACAACAATCACATGTTAACACGACACATATTCCAAATACCCCTTCCCTCGGGGCTTTGTTTGACCCGCATGAGGCATAAAAGTAACAACAAAAAACAGATAAAACATTGAGTTTCGTGCAGATGAATATACGAAACGTTAATTAATCAGAAAGGAAAAGTGGTAAAGTTTTTGGGACGATAAAAAAAATGGCGAAAACCTACAAGACGGAGAGACTATTTGTTAAAATGGGTTACTAAATTGTTTTTTATGACTGACATGAAGAGAAAAAGAAGGCGCGTAGTATATGCCCGTTTTGGAAGGCTTAGAATAGCAAAAGTTACAAAAACCTACAGAAATAGCTAAATCAGCTAAATAACAAAATATTGAAATGTATACTCCCTCTTCACTTTTATTGGTTCAGATTTCCTTCTATGAAAGTTTATGATTATTACTTGCTTTACTTTACACTTTTGGCAACTTTTTCATCCCTAAAAGATATAAATACAACTTTTGGTTCAGAGTCTTCAGACTCCCTCTATACTTTCCTATACTTTCATCTTTGCTCTCCCACCTGTTCACTTTTTTTACACTGTTGGCTGATCTTACAACTCGAGTTTATATTTCCATGAAAATCTGCTCAAGCACATAAAATTGAGAGAACCCGTATAGGCTGAAGTGATGGCTGAACAAATCGAACAATATAATGATAGGCCAAGGGGTGTGGAGTATAATGATAGGCCAGGAGGTGTGGAGTATTATAATAAGGTGTATGTAAGGAAGGGAAAAAGGGGCAGGAGTTAATAAAGTGAATGATGAGTACTGGAAGATATAAATAGGAGCGTGAAGGTTAATAAAGTTAGGCTGGTATTCTGTTAGAAGTGGCTGGGCTTTGGCTAGAGAGAGAAACTCCTCGTTCTTTCTCTAGATTGGGTTGTTATTCTCGTATCTTCCCTGTAATCCTTCTGGAGTATTGAGAATTCCTCAATCTCCATTGTTAATAATACTGAAGCTGTTTACCAATTATTAGTGCGTCTAACATTTGTATCAGAGCAGTTCGGTCGTGTAGCAGTGAATGAAATTAACCAGGTCACAGATGGAGAATCGACTTGATAACCTTGAGCAGTACATGGAGCGGAACACCACTGAAGTACGATCGATCGTGGATGAGATGCGCAACATGCGCAGTTCGATGGAAGGCATTATGGCTGAGTTGCGTGATCTGCGACAATTGACGACGAGCAAGGATCGACGGAAATCCGGAGGGAGATCGCGAATTACTCAACGCGTCCCCTACTGCTGACCATGGATCGCCGTCGCCTTCTCAAGGTATTCCGCATGTATCTCCAGTTTCTCCCTACGTACATGAACATGATCGTGTGAATAGGGGATTTGAAAGGACTGGTAGGAAGGTGGATTTGCCTCTGTTTAACGGGAAAGATGTGAATGGCTGGCTCATAGTTACATAAATCGTTGAAGACCCCGCGATCTGCGTTCCGAATGATCCGTACCCAATCACGGTACGAAAGCGTTCCAAACGCTACAGGGATCGCTTTCCGATACGGTTCCCAGGTCGTTCCCAATCGCTTAAGAATGTGTTCGCATCCGCCCTTCATGTCGTTCACAACTGGTTTCCAGGTCATTCGCAACTGGTCTCCAGGTCGTTCTCAAACGCCATCAATAATCAACGTTTCCTTTTGCGTGCACATGTGAAGACCCCAAGCGTTCCTGAAGACTCAAACAAACCTTTTCGTTTTCTGCTCTAGGTTATCAACAGGGTCGAACCAGAGTACCAGACTCTTTGTATTCCTACGCCACTTACTCTTCCCCGTGTCGCCTATTTAATGGAGTGAAATTCATTTTTCTGTTTTAAACTTTTAATTAATGTTTCTGTGTTTTCAATTGAGTCTAGAGTTTCTACGTGGCACAATTTTAATGTTATTTATTTTGTTTAATGCTATGAAATCATGTTATGAAATCTGTTTTTATTTAATTTTATGAAATCTTTAATTCAGTTTTATTATAGTACCAAAACATAAGGTACATCGTACTGAACGTGTACTGAACGCGTACCGAACGCGTACCGAAATGAACCTACCCCCCTCTGAATCGGATACGCTAGATCTAGCGAATCGCGTTCCTGTTCCTCGTTCCCGTATCGAACCGTACCGCGAACCATGTGACTATGGGCTGGCTTATTAGAGTAGAAAGGTTTTTCAAATTAAATCAGGTAACGGAGCAGGAAAAAATTGATTTGGTGATCCTGGCCATGGAAGAAAAGGCCTTGAATTGGTTTCAGTGGTGGGAAGGCAAGACTGAGGAGAGAACCTGGGAATTGTTCAAAGAGGCACTTATGAGGAAATTCCAACCGGAGCTCTTACAGAATCCTTTTGGGCCAATGCTTAGTTTGAGGCAAACTGGTTCAGTGATGGAGTACAGGGAATGCTATGAAATGGTGGTGGGCCCCTTAAAACACACTGATGAGCAAACTGCTATAAAATGTTGAAAGGAATATACCTTAATGGGTTAAAGGATGAGGTGGAGGAAGAACTTAAATTGTATCCTAAAGCTACATTGCCTGAACTTATGATCGTGTGAATAGGGGATTTGAAAGGACTGGTAGGAAGGTGGATTTGCCTCTGTTTAACGGGAAAGATGTGAATGGCTGGCTTATTAGAGTAGAAAGATTTTTCAAATTAAATCAGGTAACAGAGCAGAAAAAAATTGATTTGGTGATCCTGGCCATGGAAGATAAAGCCTTGAATTGGTTTCAGTGGTGGGAAGGCAAGACTGAGGAGAAAACCTGGGAATTGTTCAAAGAGGCACTTATGAGGAGATTCCAACCAGTTTGAGGCAAACTGGTTCAGTGATGGAGTACAGGGAATGCTATGAAATGGTGGTGGGCCCCTTAAAACACACTGATGAGCAAATGTTGAAAGGAATATACCTTAATGGGTTAAAGGATGAGGTGAAGGAAGAACTTAAATTGTATCCTAAAGCTACATTGCCTGAACTTATGGATATATCTATGGTTTTGGAAGGAAAGAATGCTGCCTTGAGAGGTGGAAAACTGAAGGAAAAGGGAGGAACACTGAGTAAACCACAACAATGGATAGATGGCAGCAAATGGAGGCCCCAAGCCAATGCTATTGATAAATTTAAATCTGAAAACCGTGTGGTGGAATCTACTGAACCAAACCCCAGCTGGAAACAAAGTCAGAGGTTAACACAAACTGAGCTACAAGAAAGAAGCGGGAAGGGGTTATGTTTTAAATGCAGGGAAAAGTGGGGAAAGGAACATATCTGTAAAATATAGCACAGCCAGCTTATTATTGTGGATGAGCCAGAAGAAGAGGGAGGGAAGGATGATCAAGAGGGGGAAACAGAGGTGGAAATTACCTCTATAGAATCCCAACCTATGCTTTTGTCTGCCATGAGTAAACAAGGGATCACCACTCCCAAAACATTCAAACTGGAAAGAGAATTGCTGATCAACGGGCATCACAAAACAGTATTGATCCTGGTGAATAGTGGAGCTACTCACAACTTCATCTCTCGCACTCTGGTACAAGAAGAAAAATTACCATACATGGAAATTGAAGGATTTCAAGTAGAACTGGGCAATGGAGACAGGGTTAGAAACAATGGGAGATGTATGGGAATGCAAATTCAGATGCAAGGAATTGATATTACACAGAACTTCTACATTTTGGAACTGGGAGGTACTGATTTGGTGTTGGGGGTTGAATGGTTAGCCAGTTTGGGTTATGTTGAATTCAATTTCCAATGCCCTACTATCAAATGGTATGAAGATGGAAGAGAAAGGAAACTGAGGGAGATCCCACACTAAGTCAAGTGAAGGCTTCCTGGAAGGCAATGGTGAAAGCTTTGAAAAATAAAGGTCAGGGGTTTTACATTTCTTGTGAGAGTTCTCCAACAATACCAATAACGGGAGCTACACCAGGGAGTTATTGGGAAGAAGTGTTGAACGGTTGAACCAACATCAAGAGGTATTTCAAGTACCCGAGGGGTTACCTCCAAAGCGGAGCTGTGATCATACTATCAACATCAAGGAGGGAGCTGAAATTCCTAATATCCGGCCTTACAGATACCCACACTACCAGAAGGATGAAATAGAGAGGAGTGTCAAAGAATTGCTAAATACATGAATTATTCAACCCAGCACCAGCCTGGGACAGCAGCCCTGTATTGTTGGTCAAAAAGAATGACGGAGGGTGGAGGTTTTGTGGCGATTCCAGGGCTTTGAACAAGATAACTATACCTGACAAATTTCCTATACCTATAATTGAAGAATTACTGGATGAACTGGGGGTGCCACTGTTTTTTTCTAAACTGGATTTGAAATCGGGATACCACCAGATCAGAATGAGGGAAGAGGACAGACACAAGACAGCCTTCCGTGCCCATGAAGAGCATTATGAGTACCTGGTAATGCCCTTTGGACTGACAAACGCACCTTCCACTTTCCAAGCTTTGATGAATCAGGTTTTGAGGCCCTACTTAAGAGAGTTTGTGTTAGTTTTCTTTGATGACATTCTCATCTACCATCATTCAGAAACTGAACACAAGGAACATCTAAAGATAATCCTACAAGTACTCAAGGATAATCAGTTATATGCTAACAAGAAAAAGTGTGTGATAGGGCAGAATCAGTTAGCTTGTTTGGGTCACCTGATCTCGGGTGAGGGAGTATCAGCTGATCCAGGGAAGGTAGAAGATATGCTGGACTGGCCAGAACCTAGAGATGTGAAGGGATTGAGGGGTTTTCTGGGCCTAACAGGATATTACCGGAGATTTATGAAAGGATATAGTAAGATTGCAGTCCCTCTTACTAATCTACTGAAGGACGGGTTCAAATGGAATCCCTCTGCGTCCCAAGCATTTGAACAATTAAAGAAGGCTATGACAA